AATGTGAAGAGGAGACGCCTGGGGTGATACTGCTTTTAGAAATTTTCCATGAGAGCTTATGGTTTTATGTGAGTAATGAAACGTGTTGATAGGCTGGGTTTATGATGATTTTGAAACTAGGTTTTTTAAGCCCTAACAAGCATGTATTTATCCCAAGGTAAGTGTTTAAGTGTTTAGTTGGTCCATTAAATCTAAATAAAAACAGTCACCGTTCTTTTTCAAAGAATGAAAAACATTCATCGAAAGTAGGATGGATTATTCTTCTTTTGAAATCCCTGAAATTCCAGAAACAGGGCTTGAATATTTACAGTTTCAAAAACAGATGAAAGATAAGCCCACTGAAATAGGGAGATTTCTCCATACCTCAGGGAATTAATATAATATCTGTAATTAGGCTCAGGAACTTATTTCATATATATGCATATATATGTGTATCTAAATAAGGGTTGGACGTAAACACTTTCCTGTAGCAGTACTATAGACTGAAACTACCAACGAGTCTCAGAATCCCAAGTAACCGCACACATTTTCTCTTCTTTCATACTGATCTTTAACCTTTTACTTCATGACTCAAAACCAGAAGCTTAACATGTTTTGAAAGCAAGTAATCTAACATTTTTCTCAATATTTTCTATTTAGTATTCGCTTACCTTTTCCCTTTATATTACCATTGTCTTCTATACCTTGGAAAAAAACCTCCTACAAGTATTTTCTCTACTCTTTTTTGGTATTTGAGAAAAGCGGTTACCGTTTATTATCAGGCTTTCATTTTCTTGACACCAGTACTAACCTCAGGATTTTTGAGGGTCATCTCGATGCTGGCAGCTGGCCCAAAGCCTGTGAGAGACTTGATGTGAATCTGGGTGGGCAACGGCCTCCTGCATTGGCAGTACACCGAAAATGCCAGCGACTTCAAGTGCTGAATGTAGAAAACCTGTTCATCCTTCATTGTCTGCAGCATGTACTGGCAAGGCACAATCTATGTAATTCACACAAACAACAAAACACGATTGAAAGTCGTCAAAGAGCTGTTCATTAATATCAAACCAGGCTCGCACATTCGTTCGTCATTTAACAACCGCGACACCGCGTTGTTATTCAATCACGTGCGCTCCCGAGGAGGGCTGCTGCCCTGGAGCCCGAGGGCCGGCACCGCCAGCCACCACGCTCCCCGATACCACGCCGCTGCTTCCACCGCAGCGAGGCATTTGCGGCCGCCGGTCTCTCACACGGCCGAGACTCCTGCCGGCCCGTGTAACGGCAGAGCCGCCTTGCAGGGCCACAACACCCGAGCAGCGCTGGAGAACCCCCGCCCCGGCTGACAATCACAGCTGGCCAGAAACCCTGACGGAATTCTGCTCTCTGCGACACGAGCGTCACGGAGTGAGAGCCCCAGTCGACTACACAGAAATAACAGGTTATCTCCTCCAGTTCAGTCTTCTTTTTCCGACGTCCACTCTCATCCAGACTGCGATTTGGGAAGGGCACACCATTAATTACGTGTGTAACACTTACCAAAGCACACCACAAGAAGTAACTACTAGTGGCTTTTCAAAGCAATACCCTAAAACTTGGGGGCAGCTTTAATTTTATTTTTCTTAATCCTCAGTCCCAAAACAAACACCCATCTTCAAACACCTTTTATTTTTTTAAAATTGCTTTTCTGATCAACACCTTCATTTGCTGGTGGCCTTGGCTATCTCATCTCGGTATTCTGAACGTTGTGTTTAGGCAGGTTTGGTTCCATAGTTTGTGGAATTAGTATTTCTTTGCTGGTCATGTAGGAACCAGCACTATGGTGTCATTCGTAAAGAAGACTGTAGAGAGCAGGATTCAGATTCTATTATAATGATTTATGTTGTTCCGCCTCCGTTTCCATTTAGTAAACAGTGGAAGCTCAGCAATCTTACACTGCTGTTCAGCTTCACTTCTTTCAGAAAGTAAAGTCAAGCATGATGCTTCAATTTACGTGTTCAACCAGCAAGAAACAGAACCACAGCCACAGTAAGATCTGCCTCTGAGATTTGAGTCGGGTGGTAAAACCCATCTGCACAACAAGAACGGAAGGAGGAATGGTGCAACATTCCTTCAGAAGTAAACAAAGCATTCCAAAAATAATGGTTTTGGTTCAAATCCTTTTTAAAATCAGAATTAAACCCCTGTAAACTCATTTTTTAATGTACTGTGGAGAAATACAATGTCCTACTCATGGCTGTGGAAACGTCTTTTCTTTCGAACAGTCATCTTTGAGCAGAAACTGCCAAAGTATTTGTTGTGTCTAACACCATAAGGCCTAAGCGGATTCTTTTAACTAATATTTTCAGTAGTAATAAAACTTCAGTATCACAAAACTTTTTACTACTCTATGGTTCTTGCTTGAACCACTGGAATCTCGGTAGCATATTCTACTTACTAAATGCACTGCCTGTTTTCAAAAGCCAACTTCTTTATCCAAGAATGTCAGAAGCTGGGCTTTTCTTCTCTATATATGAATTGTAATAAATCTGTAAACACTTGGATTTGATTTACTTTGAAATAACTGTACATTTGTGTATAGTATGGTACAGTTGTGAGAATATTGCGCTGGTAATTATATCATGTTACCCTTACTGAGAGAAAATTGTTGACTATTTTGACTTAAACTGGCAAAATGCCACATGTTTTGAGAAACAAACGGTAAGTGCCCAGAAAATAAACAGTACCCAGAACGAGTTGGTAAGCCCACTCGTTGTCTTATACAGACTTAAGATACGATTTCAATTTCCAGTTTACATATTCTTGTATTTCAGACAGAGCAGGATCAGGGGCTATTTTATTTTTAGTACCTTCAGGTCTGAATCAATTAAATTGCCTGCAGTCTACCACAATATGAAGCCGGGAAACCGATTTTCAGTTCATCCCCAAGCCTGAAATATTTTGATGACAGTTTCCCCCATCCTTTCAAGGAACAATGAGGTTGAGATTACCAAAAATGACAAATGTTTTCCGTGCCCAATTTGAGGCACTATACTAACCTCCGATTCTTTTTTTTTTAATAATTTGAATTAAAATACTTTTAAGCCAAGTTGAGCATAAACGGATAAGGTATGCAGAAATCATTCACGTGCTGCTTCTTGCAGGTGTTGCACATGTACATGCACAGCTTGTAATCTCTGGCCTCCCACTCTCCCCCATTTATTTAGACTGAGCCCCTGTGAAAGAAGAGGCAAGGCAAAATGCAGGCAGTCTGGGCAACAGGCCAAGCTCTGCTTCTGCCTACACAAATTCAATTCTGAAGTAATTCCGTAGTAAGTAACTATTACTATATACCAAGTTACATGGTAAATTATTTTTAAGAAGCAGGTAATAACAATACAATAGTTAAATTATGCATTAAATGTCTGGTTTCACATACTTCTTTCGGATTAAACAGTATAAATCAAGAGAATATAAAAAGCAAACAACTCAACATGGGAAGTAATCAAAGGAGCAACTGGACATTTTTGGCAACGGCAACCCAAGGTGCAACTGAAAGAACTGAAATCCCTCTTCAGGACGGGTCTAGCTGACATGATTGCTAGAACCACGCCACAGATTTAGTGCAAGGATAGTGCAGCTGCCTTAAATCAGTTTCCTCATCAAAACAAAAGCAAGTGGGTTCTTAATATATGGGCTTGTACCGTCAACAAAGTCATTTGTAAGCGTCACCTAAATTGTACATATTCCATTTTGTATCTTTTAGTATACGGTGTACGTATCAAACGTACGCTGTGACAGAATGACTCTCCAGTGTGAGGACAGAGAGGAAGGCAGACTTACCTGGAGAATGAAAGAATTCCTCATATTCTCAGGCAAGTTATCCAACATTTCTGTGTAGCATCGCATCAAACTTAACAGCCAGAAGTTGGTTGAGGCAGATTCTTCGTCTGCAGTGTAGGTGAAAGGATCCACCATGTAGATGACAACTGCTGGAGGATAGGCATTGCTGTCCGCAGACTCTGGTTCAGTGGGAATCCCTATTCTCTCCCTCTCTGTAACACTGGAGACATACGTGTCGTTCAATTCAGAGGCAAGTTACAATCATTAATCACTATTTTTCTGTAAAGGTGTGCAAGGCTCAAGCAGAGGCGGAAAAAGGGGAGCACTAATTTTATTCTTATTTTAAGAAGCAAAACTAAAAAATATGACAACAGTGAGGAGAGACGACTTTTACTCACAGCAGTTCTTAATCCAAAAGACCTGTTATTAATTACGTATCACGGATACTTACCATAAAGTCTAACATAATCTCATTCAGTGCAATCAGAATAAATTATGTCTGAAGAACGAGGAGTCAACTGAGAGTTTATGGGTCAGGATTAAAGGGAAGGCAGGGACAGGTGACATTATAGCGGGGGTCCGCTACAGGCTGCCCGACCAGGAGGACCGAGCAGATGAGGCCCTCTGCAGACACACAGGAGCAGCCTCACGTTCGCAAGCCTTGGTCCTCATGGGGGACTTCAACCACGCCAGTATCTGTTGGAGGGACAACACAGCAGGGCACAAGCAATCCAGGAGGTTCCTGGAATGTGTTGATGATAACTTCCTTCTCCAAGTGGCAGAGCAGCCAACAAGGAGAGGTGCTATACTGGACCAGGAGGGGCTGGTGGGGAACGTGAAGCTCAAGGGCAGCCTTGGCTGCAGTGACCACGAGATGGTGGGATTCAAGATCCTTCAGGCAGTGAGGAGGGCGCAAAGCAAGCTCACTAGCCTTGACTTCAGGAGAGCAGACTTTGGCCTCTTCAGGAATCTGCTTGGTAGAGTGCCATGGGATACAGCCCTAAAGGGAAGAGGGGCCCAAGAAAGTGCTGGAGTGATGCATCCTGACAGAGAGGAAGTCAGGCAAAAATACCAGGAGGCCTGCGTGGATGAACAAGGAGCTCCTGGACAAACTCAAGCACAAAAAGGAAGCCTCCAGAGGGTAGAAGCAAGGACAGGTAACCTGGGAGGAACACAGAGAAATTGTCCGAGCTGCCAGGGATCAGGTTAGGAAAGCCAAGGCCCGATAGAATTACATGTGGCCAGGGACTCCAAGGGCAACATGAAAAAACTTCTATAGGTACGTCAGTGACAAGAAGAAGACTAGGGAAAATGTGGGCCCTCTCCAG